ATAGCAGCCATATCAGTTTTGTGTTTAAATGAATGCCACTAATATTATTGCTTCTTATATTATAACAACATTAATGTTAATGTATACTAAACATCAAGTGAATACTTTGTGGAGAAGCGGGTTATCAAGTGAGCGAATAGATAATCGATCGTTTAGTCGGAATATGAGAGTAAGAAAAGTTCATTATAGAACCTATTTTTGACAGCTGTTTGACATTACTAAGACAGGTAAACATATATAATCTGTAGTTATATTTACGGTTGCGTGATTGTTAAGGGGATAGTAAGAAAATTTAATTTTTCTTTCTGCCCTCCTATTTACATTCTTTTTCTAAAATCTAAATATCATCAATCTTAGTTCTGAGAAATGAATTGGGTTTCTTTTTTCAACGGGAAGGGCGAGATTAATTCTAGTGTTGATATGCTGAAATAATAATAAAGTAAATAAATGAGAACTTTCGTCTAAATTTGGTCGAATTGTTTCACAGTATTTGCGCGCCGAGTTAATGTGAAACATTAAAGAGGAAGAAAGTATTTGTAAAACCTTAGCGAATAAATTTGAATTAAATCCAACGTTTCGCCTGGCAGTCTAGTCCAAGTTTTTTCAAGGAAATATCTCAGTTATGTGATAGTATCGGTGTCTTAACATTTCCAGTATCCTCTCTTAAAATTTGGGTCCTCATAGTTGTAGAAAGAAATGAGAAAAAGTCATAAATTACACAACCGATACCCCACATTAAGTAACTCCCCTTCCTATCAGTCAGTAATTTGAATGATTGCAGTGGCTGTGTTGATACTGTATTCCTAAACATTGGAAGTTAGACTAAAAGGGGAAAGGAATGTTTGAGGATCAAGATGACATGATACAATCTTAAAAAGATTACATTTTTACAGTTTATCCTGTTATTTTATGTCTAAAACATACAAATATGAAGGGAGAGAGAGAGACATCGAAGTTTACAGATATTGATCATTCAACTTTTCTGACATTTTGACTTGAATTTGTCATAGTTATCAAACTTGATCATCTTATTGATGTCGTAAATAATGATAATGATAGTAATAGTAGCAGAATAAACAAACATCTAGTTGGTTATTATCAGTAAACATTTCTTGTGTTTGTTTCATTAGCACGTGTTTTAATAATCTCTTAGGCGTACACATTTGCCTGCATAAATACATGGGCCTTTTGATTTCCTATTATATATATAATGCAGTCGTGTAATAGTATCCCAATCTAAGTGTACTTGTTTGTTTAACACGTATTTCTCTGTTTGACATTGATGAATCTTAACGGCTGTAAAAACAAGTTCACCAAAGAATCACCCTCGTATCAATGTATGCATATAAAATATTCTTTTTTTTTCATTTGCATCTTATTCATCCGTTTTCTGTTATCCAACATAATCCCAATCTATTTTTTCTTTTTGTATTTTACTGTCAAACTTACATTGATTTTGAAGGAACACCCTTTTTGCTATCTAACATGTGAATTTACCTTATTCTTTCACACTTCCAATACATTGTGTTATTGTTGTTTTGCCTAAAACGTAGTAATTGGGTGTATTTATATAATACTAAATTTGGATGTATTAAAATGTTTACAGAATGTTCTCAGAAAATTTGACAAGTTCTCTATCCTTTTTGAAAAGAAATGCATTTTTTGTTGTTGCAGATTACATCTGTTCAAATACAAATTTAAAGGTGAATCCATATGTGTTCATGCATTTGTGCAAAATTCTACACTGTCGTGTGCTTGTATATGTATATATGCACATATCATGTCATATTATGTCATAAATTGTTTACTAATGCCCGACATGATGACCTTATCACTGTTATTACAAGTTATTTAGAGAAATGAATGAAATAGGTTTACTTCATCAATTGAATAACATAACATAACGCCTAAATTGTGCCAAAAATCCTACTTAGTAGTATAATTATGATTATTACATTCATGATTTGAGATATTTTAATGAAATGATTCTCTTTTCACTTTAAGATTACATTTTCATTCCACTTTACACAACAACAATATTAAATAAATGTAGAGGAGTAGGTATTGTGGAGTGATGATGATGATGATGATGATTTGATGATAGTTGTAAGTCATTGTAGAAAAAAGAATAGTAAGCGTTAATGTATAAGAAAGATGTACAAAATGGTGTATGGTGGATAGATGAGTGGATGATTAAAATACTAGTTGTATTTACAATTATAAACTTGTCAAACTTGTCAGAATAGTAAAATATAACATCATTTTTTGGTATGTTCTTCGTCTAAGATTAAAATGACAAAAAACTGTGATTTCACTTTAGATAATACTAATTTCACTTAATATTATTTATTTATTCAAGTTAGTAAAAGTATTTTTAATGAATTATACGTATACTACTAACAAAAAAGGTCGCTATTTTTACGTATTACCAATCTTTTCCAGTCTATATGTTGTAGCGACGATAAGGAAAACCTTATCAAACTGTGATTAGATTTCGTTCCACGATTCCTGTGGCTAACAATGGTTTAGAAGGTGAATAGAGAGTCGGTATTTGATAGCCAATGTATTTGAAGCATTACTCGTGTACAATTTAGTGGTCAGTATTGAAGTTTTGAGAAGATTATTTGATTTAGAGAAAAAAACCCTGAATATACATAAGGCTTAATTGGCTGAAACATTCAATACGCTTACACAACAATCATTTGATAAATAATGTAACATTAGTTACGGTAAGATGATACACGAAAAATAGCAAAAGAATTTGGAACGAAACATAACATTTTTTCATGAAGTTATTAACTTTTATTCTTAGTTATGCGTCGAGTCCTTGTCTATGTACGTATAATAACTTATTTTGAAGCTATTTTCTCATCACTACTCACTTAATGGCCTACAATTGTTGAAACCTAGGCTGTTTATATATCGTGTGATCTTCATCCATTTGTATTGTTTGTTAACTTTCATAGTTCTGATTTGGTTAAATTCGCATACTTTCTCTGATTCTTTGGCTAACATCAGTTCATAGTAAAAATAACTCTAAAAGCATATGAAATAATTCTGAAAACAACCTATTCAAATGAGTAGAATTATAAATTAAACTAAGTCATTTTGGCTAAATGTGATGCTATGTAAGTGGACAACAATCTGATTAAAAGTGCATTATTATCAGTGGAACTGGTTTAATTTCTCTTTCATTAAAAATAACAATTGCTAGTCGTTTACGAAATTTTGATGAGGCTGTAAATGTTTACTGACTGAGACGGGTGGAAAATACATGACGTAAGTCTAACAACAGCCTAACCTGATGAGCAATGAGAGGTTAGAGGGAAACTAGAGACAGCCAAAACAAGTTGTGGCATCAATCCATGAAGTTGCTGACCGATGGTCTGAACCATATCTGTGGATGTAAATCGCATAGTTAAGCTATACGCGACAACTCTACTCAGTTAATTGTTAGACATGGCTCCACAACCGTTCACATCCATTCACTAGTTGTCTTATTCAAAATCTTAAACCCCGTTATTCCTTCATGAACACGTTTTCGTTGTCGTCACAAATTACATTTTTAATATATCTTTTTTCATTGTGACTGTGATTACACTATTTCTATTTCTTCACTACACATCTTGTTGTTTTCATCTCACCATGCTACTGTGGTTATATCAACGTCACCCGATCCACATACGTTCCAGACCGTATGTTGGTTGTGACTGACTAAAATCCCTATTCACACTCACATTTACAAGAAAGTCAAACGATTTACAATCTATCTTATTGAGAAGTTTCAATTCTCCTCGAAACATGGCGTAATCCTTCTGCACAAATACATAAAAAATAAACACACTAAGACAAATAACATCTATTATAAACTTCTAAACAGAATAATTGAGATTTATCAAACCCGAACCTAATGTTCAATATCGTTTCATGAATAAATCAACTGTATGATATCTAGGTAAACTATGATTAGATTGGTAGGATAACTGTTGTGTTCAGTTCAGTTATCCCAAGTCAACTACTTAATTATTTTTACTTGTACATTTAGTAATTTGATCACTGATTATGTAATATTTAAGACTGTAAGGAATAAAAACGAAATACATTAACAATTTATCAAGATCTTGAGCATACTCCTATTTACCATCATTAAAACAACTTTCTTTGTCAGTAGTAAGTTTAAATAAACACTTTCTTAGCGTCAAGTGATGTTAAAGCACACACACGAAGAATAGCATTCCAGTAATCTGATGAATGAATTTTTGATGCCTAATATTCACTATATTTTTCTGCTATTGTAACAATGAGTTAGATATCTGCATTTGTTGTTGTTATCTACTAAAACTAATATATTATTTATCAATCAAATTATCTTAACACTTAAATAATAACTAAAGAACTACAATGTCTAATTCGATACGACACCATACATCTTCAAGAGTAACAGATCTGCACTGTTCAATTTATAGCCTCTGGATTAAATGCTCAAACTTTACACTACTTATGTCAATTTAGACAGCAAGGTATAAAATATAACTAAAATTAACCATCATGAAACCCTGGTTTCTGTGAATTGTGCTTGTTTTACGAATACCATTCCAACTGCTTTCATATTGATTATTATTTGCTGATGCTTGGATTAGGCGGAAGGGAGATAATCAGTATATGACACGGTACCGTGGTATGTAAAATAGCTTTATGAGAAAAACGTCCGTCACGACTCTCTGACTGGAGCCCTAGAGGTAGTCCGATCTGATGGCTTGAGATGCCATCAAATATTGTTCAGAATAAAAGCTATTAGCGATCTTATTGTATATTTTTGTACACATCATAAAAGTTGAAGGAACTCCATTAGGTGAGAAAAGTACCTCTTCGTTGTATATTTAAGTGAACTGTATCTCCTATTATATGCTATTCTCGTTCACCTATAGAAATAACGATATGTTAAGTATTCATTCTCTTTAATTTCTCTATTTCTCTTGATTAAATTTATATGCAAATAGCACGGATCGATGGGTCAATAATTGAAGGACCTCATATTATCAATGAAACAGTTGAAGCCGGTCGAGATGCGATATTTCACTGTCAAGTCAATCCCGAAGAACATCGATCAAGTACAATCAGAGTAAGTTATGTTCTTATGTTCTCCTTTTTTCTCTGTGTATACTCAATAAATGTATTTGTTAAATGGAAGATTTTTAGAAATAACCGCATAAACTACAGAAGATAATTGTTTGGTTGAGTGTTTTATAAAGATAAATTCAATTGGCAGAGAGTTTTTGTCACGAATCGACATTACTTGGGAAGCCATTGAAAAAGCAGTTGGTACTGGATAGCCGATCCATTTTAATTTGCAGCTCCTGATCAGTTTACATTGACAACATCAAGAAACGAATCTGGGACGTTCAGGCTTCTAGATAAGCAAGTTATTTTTTAATGTTTTGGTGGAAATTCGGAGATTACTCTATGACACGAAATGACTGGAGCTGGATTTGTGAAGTAGTAGATTCTAGTTCCCAATGGTCCTAAGCTGTTATTACTCTCCTCGAGATATATATGTCGTAGGTACATTCATGTATGAGTCACTCTATATGCACTAATGAGGAGAGTCCTAAACGAGGAAGAAATAGGTTTTCAGTACACCCTGGCTTTCTATGAATATGTAGTTCATGTCAGTCTTTGGTGAAAACTATTTTCGGATTATAATGTTGACAACTCTGATTAAATGTGGTGTTTTTCATAATATAGTTTACAAGACCAGGGAAATCTTGGAATTGAAAACGTCTGAATACTACATCGTCATGATTCGATGGGGTAAAGACATTTACAAACTGTACAATATCACGTTGTACGACTAAAATTATGTTTAGTTTTATGGTTAAGTTTAATAGAATCTAATGGCCAACTGATAATTAATTAACTCACTCATTTAATTACTTACTATACTTAAATCTCATTATAAATGACATTCTTGGTATTAATTGGTTGGTGTTTTCATTCTGGAATTTTGGATTAATGTGAATACTTGGTTTTAGAATGGGCCAATGTTGTTACCACGGTAACACCTTGATGATAATATTTAACAATAACAATAATAAAATTAATGTATAAACAAATAAGTTTTGATTGACAATTTATGCTAATACTTTATATATATATATTCATTATATATTCATTATGTTACCAGTATTCTGATTACACGATACCACTTGGTCCAAGTTAGTAAAAACTGGTTCCACCAGAGTGGAAAAGCAGTACAAAGTTAATAAGTGTTTTTGTGGTATTTATTATAAATAAATAAATAATCATTCAAACAATATATGCATTTAAATTTGAGCTTATATTGATTGTAATGAAATGGAGGACATGAGTAGTAAAGATAAGAAAACGGACACGATAAACAACCTTGAGATAACCTGTAACTCTGTTTATGATTAATTTAGTTATTCAGAAGAAGTAAATAGTCTCACCTAATGAAACTTATCATCTAAGTAAGTGTGTACGTGTTTGTAACCTTGAGATGACTTATATTTCCCTCAAACATTAGACATTGACAAGAAGATATGAATACAGATTAACTCTATAGCTTACTGATCCAACACAAGTAATAATTCATCAGAAATGATATATTATGTAACAGAAATCTACTGGATAAGTTTGAATATCTCTTGTTCACGTTAAAATAGCTTAATCTTCAAGGGATATGTTCAGTACCATCAATTGATAGATTGTGTATTCTTAAAAGTTGAATGACGTAACAAAGTGCCCATTTATAATTGCATACAATTGCTTAATGCTCATAGCTATGAGAAAAGTAATTGGTGATTCTCACAGTTGAAATCACGAGTCAATCTAATCTGCTGTTGATTAATTTAATATGATATTCAATTACATCATGGTTGAAAACTAAATAATAAATGTAGAAATTTATGAAGATTCTTTTTCTTTTTTTCTCAATAAAGATCCAGGTAAGAAGTGATAGTATTAACTTGTAGGCTAAGAAAAACTTAAACTATAACGAAATAGTTTCAATAGTTGAGATCATGGGTCAAATGAAGCTAGACCACCATGGAAAACCTGGAAGCACGGGACAGCCGTTTCATCCTATTGTGGGACTCCTCAGTTTGTTAAAAAAACGAATTGTTGAAGTTCCCCCATCTTCAAATGTTTTTAAGTAGTGATGTCTTACCCACAAAATAGTTCTTTCTTTAAATATTTCAAAAAAAAATATTTAATTGTAGTCTTATTTGGCATTATATTTTAGTATGACCAGTATGAAGTTTTTGACATCCATAGTCAACATTCCATATCAAGTTAACTTTCATCATGGTTTAGTTAGTTATTTTATGTCAGGGTTGAGTAAACAATGGTTTCATTCTATTTTCACAAGTGAATAGACATGACCACATTTGGGGATGGAATGTGGGATCTTCAAATGCCACCGGAATAATCTTCTCAACTCCTAGTATATTCTAATTATAATCCCAGATATTTAATTTCTGACTATGACAAATATATGCCTCGTTTATTTTATTTGGACCCTTTACATAAAATATTTTATATCACCTTTAAACTTTTTACTCAGTAGCCTAACCTATAAGTGAATAGTGTTGATATGGTATTGGTATTTAAATATCGTCAATATGTAAACTCACAGTTGTACGGTATATATTTGACCATCGTTGAAATATGCTAATCATTTATATGTACATCATAATTATTAATTATTCATTATCTATATCTTTTTCTATAAACATTTTTAGTGGGGTAAAAGTATAGATATTAATGAACGTTTAGCTTATGAAGCCGAAGGAAGAGAAGTTATTCAATGGGCTGGTGGGACATTTGTTGTTCTTCCAAGTGTACCAACTTCATTAGCTTTAAATCATAATTCAAACATGCCATCAGACACTTTGTTTTCACCTAAACTATCAGCCCTGAGACCTTCATCTTCATCTTCTTCTGAATTATCATCATCGTCGTCGTCGTCATCATCATCAGTGGCAGCAACACTACCTTCGGGTGCTGTAGCTACTGAGGTTTCATCGAGTCAAAGTAGTCAACTTCTATTAAGACAAGCTAGTCAATCAGATTCTGGACGGTATGTATGTTCTGTATTAACTGAAGCTGGACGAGATGATCATAAATTTGTTCAAATATCTGTAGTTGGTAGGTTTGATTTTTAAATCTCATTTTTCTATTTGATAGAGTTTCTTTCTAAACTTCTATGTAATTCAGAATAACTCCCATTATATTAAGCATTACGTAAACGTATATTACAAAAACTTACTTAAAGTAGATTTTTGAATGTTTCTGAAGATGTCCCGATAGTTAGTAATTCCAGATTTTTCACTTTATAAGGGAGCGTTTCTTACTAAAGAACATGAAGAATCTGTATCAATAATGATGGTCAAGATCAAAGAATGATTACATACTTCAGGGGAATCATGTTTACATCCAGTTTGCTAGTTTTAACTCTATACGTTTTTCAACTCTGTCAGCACTAAAAATCTGTGGAGCAAAGATATATGAACTTTTGGTACAATCGAATTTTCATATTCGTTATCAATAGAAAACACCTTAGTACGACTTCATCTTTCAACTTTAAGTTAACTGATCTTAGTTTCACCATTCTCCATTCAGCATGTCTGGGATGAAAAGACCTCAGCGTACAGGGGTTTTAACTAATATAGCTGACTAAAAGTGTCACAGTAAGAAAGCCTGATCATTTGTAAGAGAGAATATACTTCATCTATGGATAGAAAACTTCTATTTCAACATCAATAAACAAACACGAAAAGAATTACTTATTACCCTGTACAGATGTAAAATGATCCCGTATGTTACAGTACCCCACGTATATAAACCTAAAATCACAGACAAACACAAGGGGGGGGGCACACCATAAACATAGGCAAATATTAAAGATTAGAAGAGATTGTTCTAAAAACTTATTATTTAACCTTTCTGATCTTATAATACTGTATTATAAAGGATACGTAATGTGCACGAAATTACTCAGTGTAAAAATAATTGAATGCATCAAGTAAGCAATTTATAGACTATTCACAGAAATTACGTGTACGAAAATTCTAAAGAGCAGTTTGCATCACGGAAGAACTATTGAGTACGAAACAGCACTTGATAGAACTAGTTTGAAACTCTTCATCGACGAACACTCACAAACCTACATAGGACTGAACCTAGAATTTTCTTGTTTCTCAGTAAACAAACTACTTTTAGACCACTTAGCTGACAACAGTGGTCTATATTCCTAACTTTAAGCATATTTTTATATGATGCTGTCTTCATCAAGTATCACCGTCTTTTTCCTTTTGCGGTTACCTGTACATTTATGGTCCTCATCAATGTAATTTACCTGGTGAATGTAGCTTGTTTTCTCTGCTTATTCTTCTTACCTATCTTACTACGATTAGTAATAGTTTTATTATTTTTTGGTTTTATTCTTAAGAATTTCCATATTCTATGTCTTAATTATTGATAACAGTTTGCATAAATTACAATAGATCTAAATGATTGACAAATTATTTAAACAATTTACTCACATTATTTATGTACACGTAAAAAGAAGGTTGATTTTCGCTGACTATACTGTTGGTGAGCTTGGCTTTAAAATGGAGGTAGGCAAACTATAGTCTGTAGGGTGAATCTAGCCTACCATCAAATTCCACCAAGTTGACGAGACCATTTCATTATTTATTTATTTGAACACGTAGATATTAGTACAGTGAGGCACCAAATGGATATACTTACTTACTTACGCCTGTTACTTCTCGTGAAGGAGCACGGGCCGCTCACCAGCATTCTTCATCCAACCCTGTCCTGGGCAACCAAATAGATATGCGCCTCATAAATCATTCGATTTGTGTGAGGGCTATGATACTGACCGGGTGCCCGAACCGGAGCAGGTGGTCTTCCTAGGGGGCCACACCCGGAGCCTTCGACCTAAAAGTCTAACCCACAAGGCAGTGGATAATCGTAAGGAAATGCAGTCCCATGGTAGGCGGTGGCCAACGATTGGTTCATGCACCATTTGTTTCCTTAGGATACTGGAGCCCATGTGCACCATTGGTTTTGAATTGGGGTTTTCCAACTTTCCTAGGCGGACTCTCCGTGTCCACCAACCCGGTTAAAGCGCTGAACATTCGCTTTTTGTCCCCTCATTTTCGTAAACAACACCTCCGCCACGAGAAGGCAGTGAGTAGGACTTCCCTGGCAGAGGCTACATACACGTGGCCATATGAGAGCATTTTGAGAAGGAGAGCGGACTTTCCCCACTCTCAACCGTACCAGGGCATTTGGGAGCCAGGGAGATCATTTAGAAATATTTGTAAAATAGCCAGAAGTATGAAATTTTTAAATTATTTTAGAAGAATAGGATATGATATTAAAATATTGGGAAATTAGATTTGAGGAACTGAACCACACTCATTTCCCATTTGTGAACAGAGAAACGGTCCTAGTGGAATCTGCTTAGCAATGTTATCTCCGGGTTCGACCTCTAAATAGTGAATTTTTTAAAACGTTTTTAAGAACCCTAAACGATTTAATCACATAAAGATGGGAAATTATTATCTATAGAACTAATAGCACTGAAATCTGACGAGAGCCTGAATAGATAGTTCAATTATGCACCAAAATTGACTGGCTTCATTTTGGTATTGATGAAGGATAATTTAGTTGAGATCATGAGTCGATTGGTGCTAGACCACCATGGAAAACCTGGAAGTACTGGACGGCCGTTCGGTCCTATCTCTCGATTAGATTTTTAATGTTCTCGGTGTCTTGTTCTATTGTCAACTATGAATTGCCCTTCCACTTCTCTTGTTTTTTGCTTCTACTACTACACATATGCACACATATATATGTTAATGTATACACCGTTTTGTATTCTTAATTAATGGTAAACTACCTATTTGATGTTTGTCTAATTATATTACTGGTAGGTAGGTTGAGAGGGTAGTATTATTTGTAGTTTTAGTAATTCTAAACGTTTGTTTTGTTAATCAGACAGCTAATTGTTCATAATGCTATGAATTGTCTGTGTCTCCTGACATCATCCTGTGTTTTACTGTGTGTATGCGTGTTCAAGTGGAAGCATAACCATCTGTCTACACTCGAATAATAACAACAACACATTGTTGTCTTGATTGACATACATTATGTTTTGTTTTGTTGTTTGTCTGTTTGACCAATACATTTAATTTCACTTTGCGATAATAATATTCAGTTTCAAGTGTCCTCCAGGATTTCATTTGTGCACATACATACAAAAGCGTATGAATACTTGTGTATCAGTGATTAAAGTAGGGCTTGGTTGTCATTACTAAACTCTACTCTTTCGGCTCCAGTTTTTCTTACGTTTTCCCCTTAGTCACATCTGTCTCTCACACCCATATTTATACACAACTTCTGACTCATTGATGAAATGGTGTATGACAGTCTAAATGAATACCACTTCAATTTTTTCGAAAAAAGACAACCAGTATTATCAAGAAAGAATACTTGATGAAATCGGATATTATTTTAATTAAATGCAGGTTATTTGATTCGTTGTTGTTACTGTTATGTATGCTGGCGATGATAAATCTAGTTGCTGAGGCATAAACAAATGATTCCAGATACACTAATACGTTTTTATTGTTAATTAAAAGTGAATGCGATTACATCTTAAGGAAGATGTTAAAGAAAGCAAACACCTTTTAGACGTGATATCTTGAAAACTTGAAATAATTTGAATTAGAGAGAATCATTTGGAAATTAAAAATAAAAATAAAACATTCACAACTTGCAAACATTGGACACAATACTGTCACAATACTGTCACACAATACTGCCCCCCAAATGCCCTGGTATAGCCGAGAGTGGGGTGGGCCCACCCTCCCTCTCGAAATGCCCTCACAGGGCCACGCGTATACAGTCCTACCCACTGCCTTCTCCTGGCGGGGGTGTTGTTTACGAAAATGGGAGGACGAAAAGCGAATGTTCAGCGCTTTAACCGGATCCCAAACCAATGGTGCACATGGGCTCCAGTATCCTAAGGAAACAAATGGTGCATGAACCAATCGTTGGCCACCGCCTACCATGGGACTGCATTTCCTTACGATTATCCACTGCCTTGTGGGTTAGACTTTTAGGTCGAAGGCTCCGGGTGTGGCCCCCTAGGAAGACCACCTGCTCCGGTTCGGGCACCCGGTCAGTATCACAGCCCACACACAAATATAATCAAAATGATGGTATCCACTGGAAACTCTATTCTCGCTTCGATTTACAGTCAAACAATTCACATTATTATTATTATTATTATTATTATTATTATTATTATTATTATTATTATTATTATTATTTGCTACGTCATTATTCACCCTCTTATATTCCTACTCTGTGTATACTTATTCTTTCGACTTATACAGCAGCTCACCTATGGTGGAAACTCGGTTCTGTCTAATCGTTTTCGAGTCACTGCCTGGTTGAAAATTGTATGCTACCACCAAATACGAATACTGAAGCAGTTTTTCTAAAACCACGTGCACCATTCAAACAGGCTGCCTTCAGCGTTCGCACATTTATGCAGGTCGGACAACAGATAGGGCTGGCTATGTCTTTGGAAAGTCTTAATATCGATTTTTGTTGTCTATCCGAGACTCGTATTCAAGACTCCAGTGAAGTACTATAAATTCGCTCTCCATCTGTCGCTTCAAAAAGATTGTTTTACGTGCGTTTATCCGGGGACCCTGTGGCATCTTCGTCTGGTCTTGCTGGCGTTGGTGTCGCACTAGGCGCTAGAGCTGAGGCAGCACTAATCGATTCGATCCCCATTAACAGTCGGTTATGTGCTGTTAGATTGGAAAGTTCCATCAAAGTGAGAAGAAATCGGCGTGAGAAACGATGTCTTTTCGTCATCTCCGCCTATGCCCCGATAGTCAGTCAGCTACAACGTAGGACCAGGCATATATATGCATCGGTCCAAGTTGCCCAGACAGATTGCAGCCCGGATGCAATCAAGGATGAGTTTTACTACCAGTTATCTGTTCTTCTCCAGAAAGTGCGTTCGACAGATATTGTAGTACTAGCCGGAGACTTGAATGCTCAGGTCGGGCGTCTAGGCGCAGAAGAGAGTCGTTTAGGTGACCGATGAAGACTTGTTGGTCGCAGGACAGATAACGGGGACCGTCTACTGCAACTTTGCACAGACCACAACCTGTTTCTGGTTAGCACTAACTTCCGGCACAGTCATCGCCGATGTACCACCTGGCTTCCTCCCTCTGCATCCCAAGCCTGGACTCAGATTGATCACATCGCGATCAGCTACCGCTGGCGTGGTTGTGTACAAGACTGCTGCTCCTTTTGGGGTACCTATCTGGACACTGATCATGCCTTGGTCTGCGCCAATCTTACCTTACTTTTCAGTGGCCAACGAAGTGACCACCACCAAAGGATTGGTGTCAGCAAGTTGGTTGCAACTTCTGTTGCTAGTAAGTATCGAACCGAGCTAGCTTCTAGGCTAGCTACCATTCCACCGAAAAGTATAGATGAGCATTGGTTGCAACCTCATGACTCCATCAAAATGGTGAGTGAAGTCGCCTGCAGCCTCGAGAAACATCCTGCTTATAAGCGCTGGGTTTCTTTAGGCTCCTTACAACTGATCGACGCCCATCGGTCTACTCCGGGTGACCGTGAGTTTGACCACAAACGAAGGATGTTACGTACGGAAATTGGGCAAAGCTTGCGTAAGGACCGAGAAGCCTGGTGGTCGAAGCGTGCTAATGAGCTGGAAGCAGCAGTTGCATCTGGTAACTACCGGAAGCTCTTCCAACTCATCCGAGCCACTGGCAGCAAGAAGTCTGGTGTGAGTGAAACAATCTGCGAGGATGATGGGATGCCAATCACTAACATCCATCGACGTCTTGGACGATGGGCAGAATTTTTCGAAGGGCAGTTCAAATGGCCTGCTGCTCCGGCAACATCGGTCGGACTGTCCTGCCCTCCATGGCCGGTGACGACTGATCCACCAAATGAGGCGGAAGTCTGCAAGGAACTCCAACTCTTAAAGCGCTACAAATCACCTGGCTAAGATGACTTACCTCCGGCTCTTTTTAAAGATGGTGGTGACTTTCTGGCTAAGGAACTGACTGTGTTGTTTACAAAGGTGTGGGAATTTTAACTCTGACTGAATCATACAATGGACTCATTATGAAATCCAAATGTTTTTAGGTCCATTGAAGAGTTTGTTATCAGTTCGGTTATTGAAGCGCCTGAAGAGTCTAAGACAAAATCTTTTATAAGCGCTTCTCAGTTTCGAGTAGTTTTTCAACGGAGATGATGTTATTCATTATTCACTTTAATTTAAATGACTTATTGATATGTGTTTAATTCTACACTGTTGTTTACGTCCTAATTTAGTTTTTGTAATTATTTATCATTTTAGGCGGATCCTTAGTTCAAGGTCATAAATTGACTGGAAGTAGTGGAACACATCGATTAACTTTATACATTGCTATACCGACTACTATATTTTTCATATGTTTGTGTGTAGTAACATACTGTTTGATCAGTCGACGTACAGCTCATAATCGACGTGCGTCTAATGTTCGACATCAGCGTAATTATTTTAATGCTGTACAACAATCACAAATTAAATCATCTTCAGTGGCAAGCGGTAGTTCAATTGGTGTATGTCGTAATGGTGGTATAAATGGTCATACTACAATCACCAGTGATAATCGTTTGAGAACATCTCCAACCGGTACAGCATTAGGTACTACATCAATAGGTTATCCATCAGTTAATGGTACCAATTCCATGATTAGTTGTAATAATAATAATAATGGTGCGATTAATACACAATTATCAACTCCAAATTTTCAAGTTAATTTACACGGTACTGTACCAATGATACCGGGAGGTTATCCTGTTTTAATTCAATCCATTGGCGGTAGTCAACAACCAGTATCATCACCATTTTATTCTGTACCTGAGGCTAGGTCATTATCAACGTATGGCCAAAATGTATCACCTGTTACAACTGGAAATAATTCAGAATTTATTATGGGCAATATGAATGCAACTACAACGAACAATAGTAATAGTATAGCTTGTTATCCGAACGGTTTAATTTATCCTATACAAAGTGGTCATATTATCAACTCGAATGTTTCAAACCTTGCATCAAATTCAATGTTCAGCTCATCACCGGAGTCTTCAACTTCTGGAATAAATAGTAAAATTGAACCGGTTGAAGGTAGATTAATGTTCCGTCCCCAACCAGCATTAATTAACAATTACAATTTAAATAGTAATACAGCGAACAGTAGCAGTAATAATAACAGTGATACAATTAGACGTTTTGGTCAATCAACTGGAATTAATACCTCAAATTATGAAATGACTATCACTAATACACCATCAGCATTATCATCTTATCCAAATCATGTTAATACATAATATTCCTCTCTCTCTCTATTTCTATGTATCTGTATATTACTCCATCTATTTGTCCATATGTACGTATGGATTGTTTATGCGATTTCAGTTTTTAATCATAAACAATGTAATAACAGTAGAACGATAAACCATAATAGGAAACAGGGTATTTAACAGGTTTCTTTCTTTCGCTCTCTCTCTCTCTCTCTCTCTCACTCACTCTCCATTCATGTTTATCATTTATTTTAAAAGAAATCATTCTATGTATATATTTATCTTGTTATTAAATAAAGAACTTATATATATTTATTTTATTGATGTGAGGAGTGGGGAAGAATATTGTTTACCTACTTGTCTCTCTGTCTCTCCCTCTCCTTTTAATTTTCCTGTGCAAGTATATGTTTGTCAGTAGTTTCTGTGGTTTTATTAAAAAAGTTTACTTATCCTTGTCAAAACACCTGGTAAAAACTTCTCCATGTAGAATTCTACGATAGTACCACCATCAATTAAAAAAAACAAGCAACAAAAAATCAACAAGAATATGGTGAAAAGACAATAAAGAAGATGGTCATCTCTATTGATGAAAATCCCACATATACAAACGCATTTGTCACTGATAGAAAATATATTATTTTGACTCTCCAAGTGTCTTTCTTGTTTTAGGAAAAACCATACCATAGTAGCAATAATAATAGTTACCATTGATAACAGACAATATTATATTTGTAATTTCATTTAAAATTCTTCTTCTTTTTCCATCTTTCTTATCGTTACATGATTATTGTACCTTTCCCATTCCCCCCTCTCAACAAATCTTTGAGAACAACAAAACATAGTCACTGTTAGTTGTTTGTACAAAATGATGGAATTATTTGTGATTAGGAATGATGGATAAACATTGTTGGTTCGATTTGGGATTTATTTTATGTATGTATAAGGTGTAATGATGACATTACATAATAGGCGTGACATAAATTCTTTTTCGTCTAGTCAACTAACATTTTTTGGATCAAACTTTTTAAATGAATGAGGAGGCAAACATAATTTTAAAAAAAAAAGAAACCATATCACAATTTGTTTGTTTGTTTGTTTATCTGTAAGCATCATCTTCATTTTGTTTAGGATTAGATCATTTAGTCTGTATAACATTTCTTATCAGCTGGGTGTTTTGTTTTTGTTTTTTCTTTGCATATTTATATGATTTTATATTTTAATGATTGAAATTCTATGTTATTTTTATTGATTGCAAATTATACTACTTGTATGAGATATATATATATCGTAACTATGACAGTTGACACCTCAGTTCTTTACAGTCATGATATATACACATGAACTCTCTATACATTAAAAACAAGAACTCTAACCAATTATACAGATCATTTCAATTTTAGTCCTCTATATACATTCAATTATGTAATGATGATATTTCACTCTGATCATCTCTTAATAGTAGTAAACTTAAAGTTATATTTCCAAGTTAAACTTATTACATAACCATAATACGCGCACAGTGTTCAATCACGCATTGTCATAAGTATGATGATTATGTTTCATTTAAACATTATTATTATTATTGGTTTTGTATTGAAAAAACAAACAAACGCTAAAGACATCCATCGGTTGAAACAGGGTATTTGTAAATGTATTTGCCAAATCTATTTGTATTAACATATTCAACTCTAAAAATCTCTACATTATTGAATTCTCCAGTGAATTAATCTACATTTGTTTTATGTAATCACACAGTGTACTAATATTATTACTATTATTATTATTACTACTACTACTACCATTACTTGTTTTAAATAATATATTTTATTTGAAGAAAATTCGGTTTCTAAATAAAAATAATATATTTGTAATATCCCGATGAGTACAATTGTACTATTTAAACTTGGACTAATTTTAATTTGGTTATTTATTCTCTGAAGAAGTGGCTTACACTAACTCACGAAACGTCAGAAAATCTAATTTTCTACTCATTGGGATATTACAAATATATTATTTATTTATTTATTTATTTATTTATAACAATCTACCCAATGCTCAATTTAATCGAAATTATCAAATCAAACCTTGGTAATGATACCTACAAAATTCGGTTTCGTTTGTTGTATTGATTATTCTCTACCATTTGTCGTGTGTAGGTATGTTAGTTAACTGACCACCAATAGAAAATTATATTTTTCAAGAAAACCAAAGTGGAATGTAACTATTGTATTATTAAGAGTATCCTCAAAAAACCTACTTCTGTTTAGTAGTATTGTGGCATGAGCTACTTATATCCACACAGAGTAGTACGTAACGATGGTCAGGAATAGAATGTATTTCAGTAGAAGATCGAGAAGGAAAGAACGGGAATGGTAAGCAGTTGGTATGAAAATGCAGAAACACTAAAATCTGAGATGATGGACTGATATTTGTAAAAGAATAGTCAAGTTTCAGACAACTGATTGATATTTTGCAACTTAACTATTTACGGTATGGTTCTCAGATTTCAGTAAGATATTCTGTAAGTTTAGGCTCGAATACATTCGATTGCCCAACTCGTGTTCTTGTTCAATACAGTGCCATCTAAGCATAACTTGAAATCTACTCTGTTCAACAAATAAGTAAATGGGAATCCCTATAGGTGTATTACGAAAAAGTTTGGGAATATCAGTTTTAATCCTTATAAATTACCCCCGATCTGTGACAAAATACTTGGGTATGTATAGTGAACGAACCGATCACTTTGTTCACGAAACTTATTCTCAGTTCTATATATGAATCAAAAACCACTGGTCAACTGACTGAGTATAAGGATATAAAAATTGGAGAATTCAGTGTTATTTAAATACAAAATATTCAGTATAGTATGACTGAATGAATGATGAGTTATTAACCAAGATTTAAAACCAAGACCACATACTGAATAATTTTCCCGCTCACTTCTGCCTGTCGTCACAGTTTCTTGATGTTAACAAGAACACTCATTAGCTCATTTTTCCAACTTATCTTGCTTAGGTTCTTATTTCTGGACGGATGTATTTTCACCTTTCTCAAAACAACATAGACATATACAGATCATCAATTAAATGTACCCTACTTTGATCTCTGTTATTTCATGCCTTAACAATGGTATTAAGTGACAATTCAACAAAGAAGTTATTTTGAAGAAATGCGTCAAAATGTAAAAACTTTTTTCATGAAGATTGTATAAGAGATCATTTCTTTGATGTTAAGTGGTTTGAAACAATCCACAAGAAAACCGCTAGTTATGTTTTGCACTTGTTGCCTATTCGTCTTTAAAATATCGAGGGAAATGCTGGTCTATGTGAACCATAAGTGCGTGTGGTTCAGTTGTACAGTTCCAATCCTTATCATTGAGGTACTTAGTGGCCCTGTATCTGACTCCAAGTCGATCGTCTGGTTGGATGTTATCGAGATATACATGTCGTCAATCCCCGTACATAATCATCGACTTAACTTACGTTAGTAAATAACGGAATTAAATAAGTCAAATATGAGAATGGATTTTTGAATACGTATATTTTGTACACTCACTGATCTGGACGATGCGACGAGAAGAGGGTGAAGCGAAATGGCACGCAGTGAAGGTGTGTGAACGAACTCGATTTAATCAAATGTTAATCGATATTTATAGCCAAAAAAATAAGTTACAGACATGTGATGAGTAGGATAAGAAGTGCACACACATAGGCTCATATAAAAACAGTTAAAGTTGATAAGCAAATAATTGACAAAGTCAAAATGTGGTTTAAAAAGAATGAATAAATTGGACTGTACGGAAGCTAGAATAAGCTGTGTGTGCTTAACATAGTAACTGACACTACAGATATTTTAACCGTACACAAGATGCTATTATTTCGGACTAAAGGAAGTACCAAACTTTGTCAAGATGAACAATTAACATTGTCTTTCATAAACTTTTTAATATTTTCTATCTGCGACTTAATATCTTCGTTGCTAGGTTTACAAAAGAAAAGTATCAGAAAATATCAAAGATTTGATTTGAATATTAGATTCTAGAATGTGAGCGTGCATCAATTTTTGGTGTTAATAGACTGACCAATCAAAAGATGAAATGATGAATTTTTACCTTCTCTTTTTGATGGAGTTTTGTTCTCTCAGATGGATGGTTTGGTCGTGAAAAATATGGAAAGCATCATGGCCCCTGCGCGAGGATGACACGCAAAATCGTGAAGCGTTCCATATTTTTTACGACCAAACCATCCAGCTCAGAGAACAAAACTCCATCAAAATCATCCACCTGAGCTACAAATCTCATCCACCATCTCAAAATTTTACCTTCTCTGTTTTAATTATTGTTTGCAACGTACGACGAATCAATCGTTTGTAATTATTTCCACATCATAAGGTGCTATGAGAACGGACAGCTTACGGATCTCATCTTATTCAAGTGAAACGATGATTAAAAATCGTTTACTAGTTCAGTGGTTAAAGAGTTTTCTTATTTGAACACACCGATTCCTCACCTAATCATAATGGTAATCAACTGAGTAGTAGAACGATTATATGACGAGAACCGATTGTCCAAAATGTACATTTTATGCTTATCTTAGTGAACGTTTTAGGCATCCTATAGAGAGAAACTCATTTATTTTAATTCCTATGCTGTGTACAACAAAGTAACTGAGTTTGTCAGTCTTTCGAGTAACCTTTCTGTTATAATTATTGTTATTATTACCGTATTTGCTACTTATATCTTTCAAAATAGATATTATGTAACACCAACTAGAAATGTATTGTATGAAGGTCGAGTTAAAGAAAACAGAAAGGGGGATAGAAAGGAATCGTAAATTGGAAGAATCATACAGAATATGAAGGACGATTGATGGAAGATTTGCAAATGAAGTATTTAATATAAGATTTTCATATTTTAACAAGAGATTCTGTAATATATATATATATATATATATATATATATATATATATATAAGCAAGGGCCGCATTCCTACAATTGAAGGACATATCGAACTCAGAACAACTGTTAACCAACATCAAAGTCAGAATCTTCACTATGAACATCAAGACAGTTCTACTGTACGGAGCTGAAACGTGGAGAACTACTACAACAATCATCAAAAAAGTGCAAGTGTTTACAAACAATCGTCTACGCAAAACACTCAATGTCCGTTGATCGGGTACCATCAGCAACAGTCTAGCCTACTGTGGGAGAGGACAAACCAGCTTCCAGCTGCAGAGGAAATTAGGAAAAGGCGATGGAAATGGATAGGAAATATATTATGAAAATCACCAAACTGCATCGCGAGGCAATATTTTATTCAGAGTGATGGTAACTAGTAGTGGAATCCAGGACATGCATTTCAGAAGGGGTTTTTGTGGATATTATAATAATTTCAATAGTTGAGATCATGAGTCGATTGAAGCTAGATCAAGCTGAACTCAATTTCGTGGATTAGTTGAAGTTAGACATTAACATCGTTGAATATCGGTAAGCTCAGTGGTCTTGTGGTTAAACACTCACGCTCGAGACTGATAGGTCCTGGGTTTGAATCTCGCAAGACGGGATCGTGGATACACACTAACTTCAACTGACTCATGATCTCGACTATTTAAATAAATCACTTCCTTATATTTATTTCACCTATTTAAATTGTAGATGTAAAATTCTAGTTCATAACTTCCAGAAAATAGTTTAGTAAAACAGATCTCTTTCAAAGAAAAATCCATTTTTATAATGGTATCCTTTTCATTTTTTTGCATAGTTTACTTGTCATAAGTTGTCAGTTGAATGCTACCTGTTATACCTGGTCGTCGCTGGTTGTTGTGTTGGAGACGCCTATCACTTATACTCGAAACAAGGGACCTCCTCAATTCCCACGACGCGAAAGTAAGAACACAAAAACTGGTATAAGTGAAGAGTTATTAACCCCCAAAACACAACCACGACAAGTCTAGTTGGAAACACACTCATTTATATCTTGATCCATACACCCATTTTTGATTAATAATTAGGATGAAATCACATATATGATAAATACTTGGGGTTATAACAAATCATGTGCTGAGTATAGTTGATGTTAGCTTAATACAAGAATATCGTATGTTATACCAAATAACTGGAAAAACAAAACAAATACTACATTGAGTAATCCATACATTGAATTAAAACGGAACTAATGTGGAATAAAAATCATAATGAGTAGATCAATATAATTTTGACTTTTCATCACGTCATATCAATTTCTTCAAGGATGATTTCCATCTATTCAAAATGATCATCATCATCATCATCTTGAACAAGAAGGAATTGATTCACACATTAAATAATCAATAATCATAAATAACAAATAAGAGAAATGTTTACAAAAATTCATCATCATCTTTTCTTTTAATGATTTCATCATACAAATATTCATAGAGATAATAGTTGAAAGAAGAAGAAGAATAACAACAACAACAGCAACAACAACAAAAATCATATTCACAATAAATTTTAGCAAGAAGAAACTGTAAGTATGAACGCCTGTTCATTTAATTGAATCAACAACTATAGTAAATGAATATATGTTAACTAGTAAAAACCATGTTATTTAAACATGACTAGGCTTTTAAAGAGATATATTATGGACAAATATTATAAGTTTATAAACATACATTTACATCCATTAATGTTTAACTAGTAGTAAAATTAAGCATTAGAAAGTCACATCGATGCATGTATATATATATATATATATATATATATACATATATATATATATATACCTTGCTTTATCCCACGGAGTCCTGTCTCCGGCGGTAAGGTCTCAACAAATACGGAGCTAACACGAAAACTACT